ATTAAATGTAATTATTTTGTTGGAAAAAGGACTGGTATTAAGCATTTGAGTTCCCTGCCTTCAGTGTTAGATGTTACAAACCACTTCAAAGTCTTCAAATAAAAAGAATGTAAAAAGATGTAACGTTGGAGCTTCTGTGTTTAACGGTATTCTAAGATTCCACAAAGGTTCTCAAGATACTGCCCAGACTTTATATGATACTCCTGTGTCACTTCTCTGAGACAGCTGGGATTACAGGAAGAATTTTGTTTGAGAATGCCATTCAGCTACTGTCAGACAGAAGTATTGGAGAACAGCTTTGCCGAGTATAAATGTGACCATTATTTTCCTTTAATTTTTGCTTTGGAAGAAATAATACCATTTCTGTTTGGGAAGTAGGCAAGGTGATAAGACTTTCATTTGGCTTTGGTGATGTACTTGGAAATTTTCTAGCCTGCAGGATAGCAGATCCCTCAACAAAACAAGCAATGAAGTATAACAAAATGAGAATCCATGCAAAAGTGCAGTTGGAAATGTAGTTGGTGGTTTAATGTCATAGCAACTTTTTAAAATCTGTGTTTTTGCAGTACTTCTAAAGAGAGATAAAGTTCTGATATACATAATATATTTTATTATAGCTTTACTTTATGACTTTTTTATTAAGGGTTTTGGCCTGCCATAGAATTTAACAAATTAAGGCATAGTAGGGTTACATACGGCAGGGTCTGCATTGTGTAAAATTGAATAAAGATTTCTTTTTTTCTGAACAAGTATTTCAGTTTTTTACTTAAAGCATTCTGTAAATGCGAGGCACCAGAAGCTTCCACTTGTTAGAAGACCACTCGCTTCTCTTCTTTCCTGAGTCTGCAGCTGGCACAAGTGGCAGTAGCACAGTGGGCTGTGTTGGGAGCTGCCAAAGCAAATTCCTCCTACCGGGCTTTTTTTTTTTTTTGCAACCAGTTTTGCCTTTTATGCAACAATCTGATAACAACAGACAGGCCAAGCTATTGGGGATGGAAATAAAGGAGTGCCACATGCTGCTCATTTGTGAGAGCCACCTACCATGCCTGGAACTGGGCATATGTGCATTGAGGAATGTCTTTTTAAAATGTAGATGTGTCAGTAAAATGCAGAGTTTGAACAAATCTGAATTGTGTTTCTTGAAAACTGTGACTCTAATACGTTGTTCCTGTATGAGAGAAGACTTCAGGAAATGATGTGAGACCATGTTTTCTCTGTTGAAAGAGTCATGAAATTCCACTAATAAAAAAGCATTGCCCACATCATGAGAAAGAGTAAGTAAATGTTGTTTCCTTACCTCAGTGGGGATGTAGTGATTATGTATGAAGTGAAAGAGTTTATCATTCTGTATCAGGCAGCACGTGGAAGTACATTAAATTGAACTGAGTTCATAAAGGCAGATGCATTTACCACATTTCTCAAAAATTCAGCTAGGATAAAAGTTGGAGTCAGTTGCTGTGGGAGATGGTATATAGCTGAACTTGCAGAGTGGGATGCTGGTACCTTCATGTGTCAGTGAAGGTAGGCTATCACTAGTTTTGTAACAATCACTTAAAGGTGGGGTATCGATGAAGGGAGCATTCCATTTGCACTCCCCTGGATCTTGTTAAGATGAAGTACCAGGAAGAATTTGCTCTACCTACAGGGGTTGGAATAAATCTTGTTTTTCCAGCATGAAGAAATTTTGCATGACACAAATTAGAGTAATTGACAAATATTTCTTATAATCCATTTTGCACTTGAATTCCAGGTATTGGTGCCATTAGGGCAACAATTATTTCACATTCTGAATGGGCAGTGTGGATGTGGTAAGAACACACAGGAAGCACTGTCTCACAAATAACCCCAACTTACCTTGCTCATGCTTTGCAGTGTCACAGCGTGTGATCAGAGGGTAGCTCCTATGCATGTTCAGTTCACTGAACATGCTTTAATTCTGCTGCCCTAGACATTAAAAGTGTCTTTGGGAGTAAAATGTGATTACACAACGTAGTCTGTAGAGGGCAGAGCAACACCGTTGAGTGTTGCAATTCAGGCTTCTGCTTAACTATACAACCAGACTTTTCTTCTAGAGTAATGAAAGTTTACCGATTTTTGTATTTGTCTCCCATTGGTGTAATTACAGATGGAGCAGCCAGATCTGTGGCAACTCCACTTGATTTCTGCATGACTTCATCCAAACTACTCAAGTGGTCCTTGACCTGTGCTGGAGCTGCTTATCTTTTAGCCCTCAGCTAAAGAATCATAGTAAAAATGTGTGTGCATATACATAAGTATACACACATGCCTACATACACACACACATATATATCTATATCTTCTAGCAACATCAGAGGAGGAACTGAGTCTCCTTCAGGATTTACCTTTCACCCTGCCCAAATTAATTTCCTCTGAAAATGTTGTTAAGCAATTTTGGCAAGCAGAGGTTGTGTAATTTAGAATCTCATTATGTCCAATACAAAGTTTATATAGTTTATATACTCAGGGCGGCCTGGTCTAGTGGTTGGCAACCCTGCTTATGGCAGGGGGGTTGAAACTAGATGATCTTTGAGGTCCTTTTCAAGCCAGGCCGTTCTCTGATTCTATGAAAGCACATTGCCCAAAGTGTGACAAGATGACAAAACTTACAAGGAAATTGGCATAAGATCAAGGACTAGAAATGACAAAAGATTGTTTTTTTGTCTATGAAGAAAAGCAATATGGAAGATGGGAGCTGCTCCATAGCATGTGACTGCTGGCAGTGAGAGTCTTCCAAGGACCTGTACCTTGCAGTACATCAGCCATTAGCCATGGTTAGGATTTTGCAGGATATCAAATGTTGTATCCACTTGAACTCTCTTCAGGTCGTTCAGTAAGTCAGCAGATGGAAGTTAAGTACGAAACACAGTCTCTATTAACCTGTGAGGTTGTGCCTCTTTCTGTAGTTACAAGGCTAGCTCCTGCACCTGAAGCGATAGGGTGCTTTTACCCAGGAGCACAGATATATCTAACCCATACAATCAAAAGTTGCTTATTTTGCTGGTGAAGAGTATCATCTGAATTTAGCCTAGTTACACCATAGATGAGTAGTCTCAGTAATTTTTTCCTTATTTATTTCCTTTTAATGAGAGAAATAGTTGGCAAGAAGTTTTAGTAGAGAACAGAACAGCAAGCAAGGCTGAGTAGAATACTGCAGAAGACTGCATGTAAAAAGGCTTTGTAGATACATTTTTCAGATAATAAATAAACCTTATCTTTGCTTTGGATTTTGTTTGTTTAGTTCTAAAGTAATGCAGACACACCTAAATAACAGAGATAAAAGTAGTGTGCTGTAGGGGGAAGTTCAGATGTCCTCAAAACGTTTATCAAAAGGAAGGACAAAAGGAGAACATAGGAGGTGTCCCCTCTAGGAGATTTCTAGGATGACTGCAATCCCATAGGTCTGGCCCAGAAGAGAATGCTGGATCTGCCCCACATTGCTGCCCCCCAGTCACTTCCACGCTGGGCCCCTGAGCTGCACAGTGAAGTGATGTGCAGAAGAAAGGAGCTGCACCTCCAGAGGGTACCACTGTGTACATTCATTCAGGTTGAAAGCCTCTAAGCCAGTGGTTTATAACTGTTATTCAAATACAAGAATATTGTCAAAGTTTTTCACGAGCATTTAACGAAACTGAAACCTTTACAGCCTTTGAGCTTACACCGAAGAATTGGGAGAAAGAAGAAGAGATGTTTTCATACTGGACAAACAGACATAATATTTCAGCCCCAAGTACCCTAAATGTATCTATTTTAAAATGTGATTGTCTACAGAGCTAACTAGCTATTGAAAACTGGTGGGATTTATAAGGTGTCTGTTGAATTTTTCAGTCTCTAATTAAAGAGGAGCTGTATGGCCTTACTATAAGATAATGCAATGCTTGTGATCACAAATAGAGTGTATGTCTTTCAGCTAATGCAGAGAAGCAGTGGGATAGTCAGCAATCTGTGCTTGGAAGACTGTGTCCTGCCTGCACAGATGTAAACAGCATTGACAGGAAGGGGGAAGCAGCTACCCCAGACAGGAAGATTGAATTTAGTATCCAGCTCCTTATCTTAGCAGAGCGGGCTGCTCAGGATGCCGTAAGGAGTGGACAGATTGCTCCAGCAGACTGCTGCGTGTCCCTTCCTGGGAAGACCTTCATGTCAGTGTAATCAGGGCATGCAGAAGGGTTTAGGAAGAGATTATATCTGGAGGCTGGTTATCCAAAATAATGCTTACCATGGTGTAGTACAGTCTCATTCCGTCTCTGCCACTGTCACTTGCAGGAAGAGATTGACTTGCATGGTGAAGAAGAAGGGTATGTGTCTTTTAACAGGAAAAGCTTTTATCATACTAAGTGTTATCATTAGTCTTATTGCCTCTAAAGAAATCAGAGCCTTTCCTGAATCCTAATGCACAACACAATATCTACTTTAATTTTTGGATGAAAGGTTTGGTAAGAGCTGATACAGACCAGTTCCAGCTTCAGAGGTATAAGCAGCATTGCTGCAGCATTGTTTTATGTGCTTTGAATCAGAAAGGCACCTGGTTCACAAGTGAAAGATGAATGGCCTCAAAACTCTCTTTACAGTTGCTCAGTAACATTTGACATGACTTTCTTTCTGATTTCTGTGTGTATATTGGGAAATCCATCTGCCTGAGCCTACAGAGAAGCAAGGCACCATTCAGTCAATGCACTGGTGGATGAAATGAAGAGTCAACACAAAATCGTAACTTCCTCAGCATTGACTTTTCTACGAATGATGATTTCTGTTCTTCCCTTTTGCCCCCAAGTATGCTCCAAAGTCATTTCAGATTTTTCTAAAAACTTTATTCAAGCTAAAACTGAGACCTGGAAACACTTCAAGGCAGTTTTTCAGCTGCATCTGCCCACATATGTCTGAAACACCTCTTTTCACATTTTTTTTTTTTTCCACACTGGATATATATTTAGTTCAATTCTGGTGAGGAAGGCTGGAAACAATTAAACTATGAAAAATGAGAGTGGTATAAAAGAGTCTACCAATGCTTCTGAAGAGCAGTGACATATGAAGAGCAGTCTTGGGGAATCATGAAGAGAACATTCTGGAACCAAATTACTAAGGCAACTTAAGCCAAGGAGAAACCAGGTCCATCTGCTCAGCACACGGTGGGTTGCGCACATCTCCTGCTGTGCCTGGGATTGCTGCTGACACAGCTGGCAGCAGCCAGCACCCTGTGCCCTGCCAGGTGCTTCACACACAGCTGCTGGGGTAAGCGAAAATCCTGCGTCTCTCTGTTTTTGCAAAAGAGTTCCTTTCCCCCTGCCATACATTGGAAATGGCTCCCGAAGCCTGGAGAGTATTAGTTCTTTATAAAGGATGTGTTTGTAAAGCGGATCATTTCCAGATGTCCAATGGTTTTGCAGACCTTGCAATAACAATTCGCTACCGAGAGTTCTCAGCCAGCTCTGGGCATTTGGTTACCTGGAGTATTTCTAGCATCCATCACAAGGCAAAGGACACCTTTAAGCAGGGGAAAAGCAAACAGCCTAACAGCACCCGACAGTAGCAGCACCTCATCAGGACTGCCCCAGCACATTCTCACTTCATTGTCCCATACCTGACAGGCCATAAAAGAGCAAAACAGCCACTTTCCTTTTCTATCTGATGCTGCAAGTTACTCACATTTCCTGTCCTGCTATTTCAAGGACTAAGGTCTCAAAATGGGAGCCCATTAACTTGTCCGAAATGACATGTTTTCCTCTCTTCCTACAGCCATGTCCAAGTGAACTGTATCAACACTGCCTGAGAGGCATCACCAGGGTCAAGGTACACTGTGCTGAGCCCATATGGGTGCCACCAGCAGTGCAGGGGCTCTGGTGGCTGCTGCATGCCATTGGTGGCCAAGTAAAGACAGTGAGGGTTCCTCTGCCTGGAGGAGCAGGAGGGACATCCCTCTCTCATGCTACCCAGGTTGGGCTGTATTTTAGCCCAGAGCAGATGGACATGGGAGAAGAGGGCAGGAGCTCCACACTTTTGACAGTCTCCCCTTAACTTAGCACATTTACACCTAAACCATTTTAAAATATAGCATTGCTTCTCCTGTGCCCTCCCCTGCTGCACTGACCAGCTCTGGGCTTGGGAAGTCACACAGCACATCTGAGAGGCCAAGAAGTGGAGCTAAGAAAAGTAAATCTGTTGTCAGCATCCTTGTATTTGCTTTGCAGGTGTATGTGCTACTGGAAGAAAAACTAGTGCTTGCAAATAGAAGGCAAGATCTGCAAGCAAGGCCATAAGCTGGGCAGCAGCTGACTTTGGCTTTCAAAACCCAGAGGAAAATTCTAATCGAAATGCAAAGTGTGTTTGTAGGGAAATCTTTTCACTCCGATGTAGTCTGACTCAGCACTTGGTACATAGATTACAGCTCATTAACACACTCATGTGCAAATATCCTCATTGAGTTCCTGCCACTGGGTTACATGTAGGAGTGTGTAAAGGGCTGCATCCCTGCCATGCTCTGGGCAGTGTCCCCCCAGCTGCCAGCATTGCTTGTGTTTCCATGTACAGTGCCTAGGCACAAAATCAAAGCCAAGGGCTCCAGCAGAGCTTGTATTTTTATAAAAGTTTGGGGAATTTCAGACATTTGCATTGCTTGGAGTTTCTAAAAGAAAGATAAGCCCTCTGTGAAGCAACATATCTTTAAAAACCCCACACATCACAGCCCTAGTGAAGAAAGCACAGAAAGGTAAAGAAACTTAGAAGTAGAAAAGCTACAGCCACAGACTTAAAAGTGTAAATAAAATGTGGCCCCAGTCCACAGATTTCTACTTCTTATAACCTTGAGAAATTATCTCCACTTGATTTGTAAACTGAATCGATATGACAGCGTTGAGAATGTAGCGGTTTCATGAGCAGCTGATGCTAAAATAAGGTCCACAGGCACCAAAATGTCTCTGTGCTACGCAGTCTGAAGTGTGGTTATGCAACGGGGATAAGCACAGCATTTCTTTGGAGCATTAACCTGAATTAAAGGATGAAACGGTTGCGCAGGGATCAAGGCCCCCCAGTCACCGCTGAGGGCTCCATCAGTGCTGGTTGGTGCTGCTGTTCAGTAACAGCAAGAAGAGAACAAACACGTGGTAACTCACACAGCTGCGCCCCTGCAAGGGGGTTCTCTTCCCCACAGCACCACACTTTATGTCTGGGAAATGGCACTGCTACCATCAGTGTGCTATCTCTGTGACAAGTGCTGGGTAGGCTTACTGCAAAGGATGCCCAGCTAGGTGGTGCCACTTGGCACTAAAGGGAAGAGCAGCCCCTGGGTATCATCATTAAGTGTCTTAGAATTTGGAACTAAGGGAAGAATGAAAGCCAGAGGTCTTGACCACTAGATGAAGATTTTAAGGCTCTCAAATGTTTGTTTCCTGTTTCCTTGCTTCAAGTACCCATGGGCATTCCTGGCTCCCTGTGATACTGACAGTGATGCTTTGGGTGATGTTCATGTTTATAATTACTAATGGGATGAACAGGGCTGCAGACATGCATGCAAAAGCAGCACTGCCGATGGCTTCTTGGGGGTTCTGCTCTCAAAGTCAGTTCTCCCTTACAGCAGAACGCATCCCTAGCCAAGTGGCGTTAGCCTCTAATTGCATGCCAGCAGTCCTCTTTTGTCACTGATTAAAGGCAAAATGAAGGCAGTTGGCTGATGTATTTCCCTACACTGATTTTGTCTCTGAGCTCTGCAGCATCCTGTAACTAGGCACGGCTGCTGGCTCTAGGACAGCTTCCCAGTAGGACCTGTTTGGTGTTTTGCTGTTACATCAAACCAGCTGGGGTAGTTTTGTATCATTCCTTTATCTCTGTCCAGGCCTAGGAAGCCAGAAATAAGAACAGTCCTCCTGATATTCTCCTAGGGAAACCAGTTTAAAAATCATACCTTAGGAGCTTATCTAACTACAGATTACATCAGCTCAACAGACTCAATTAAATTCATTTAAGCTTTCACAAAACACTGTAAGCATACTCTCGCTTGCACTTCAAACAGGTTTATTGCATACCTGTCTCTATCATCACTTGCTCAGTGACTTTTGGCATGTGCTTCCTACACCTGCAGGTAGGTCACAAAAAATGTTTAAGTGATTCGTCACCCTCTGAGAAGAACATCAGGTCTCCATTTCTAGTTACAAAATTTTACATGCCAGACCCACTCTAAGGTGAAATCTAGGGCGGTGACATGCTATGGGAAAGAGGAAGGCTGATCAGGGACTTTGTCCCTTTTCGTTTTTAACTCAGAGAGCAGTGAAGCACTGACACAGGCTGCCCAGAGCAGCTGTGGTGCCCCATCCCTGGAGCCGTTCAAGGCCAGGTTAGATGGGGCTCTGTGCAGCCTGAGTTGGAGCTGGGCGGGCTTTAAGGTCCCTTCTAAGCCAAACCATTCAGTGATTCTATGACTTCATGGATTTCTTAAACCACATTTTCATAATTGTAGAAACATTGTACACATAGTTGGCTGCCAGGTTGGCAGAACTATTGCAAACAAAGCTGTTCTCCTTAAAGTGCTTAACATTAGAAACAAATAAAGATAGATTACTCTTACTGCATACTCACCTCTTTTCCAGTTTGACAAAGCCTTTTTTAGGAACACTTTTTGTAGAGGCAGACATGTAGAAAAAGGATCGAGTCATTGACTTTAGTTCCTTGTAAATTCTTCGTGTTTAATTAACTGCTCAGCAACAATCACTCCTAGATACATCACTTATTGCTGAAACAATTGACATGTTAAATATTGGTAAGGAATATAGAAAATAATAGAAGGAAAAATCTACCAAGGAGAAACTTTAGGAGGGTTGTGTATAGATGCCCTTGTGTATATGTGCCCTTTAGCAAACTGTTATTTAGCTAGCACATAAAACAGAGACTGAGGCAAGAAGCACAGCTATTTTTGCAGCTGTTTTACATCTATTTAAAGCATGGTGCAAGGGGACCACCTCTCTAATTGCAAACATCAACATGCAGATGTTTCCTCTGGCCGGTGAAAGCAGCTGAAGCTCACATGGGCTGGTGCTGTCAGAGCAGGGAGGTGTTAAGGCAGCTGATGCTCACTGATACAGAGCTGATGTTCTCAGAGCTCCATCTCTGACACCCCATGTCATCAACAGGCCTCACTGAGGGAAACGAGGGATGCTGTAGTGACAAGCAGTGACAGGGAGGAGCACAGGGCACCATGAGCAGTAGAGAAGTGAGTAGGAGGCTGAATGTAAGTCATAAAGTGAAGGACACAGCACATAGATGCCTTTGGCAAGAACACAATAGGTCTCTCCAGATATGATGCAGGGAGGGATGGGGCTGAAGATACTTGTGCAGAGGAAGCTACACAAGCAAGAGAAAATGTTCATTCTTTTGGTTTCCTTCCTTATTCAAGACTTTCTGCATCTTTCAGATGTAGCTCCTGAAGTTGCTGATGCACACCATGATAAAACCACATTGCTTCTGGGTGCAGAGGGAATGCATGATGACTTGAGCTGCTGTTTTCTAGGTGAGGACATCGCCAACAAGAGGACTTCCCCTGAGCCCGCAAGACAGCAATCTGAGAATTATGCAGGGGCACATGTAGTGTTTCATGTTGCTTATTTTGCCTATGTACTTTATGCAACACGGCACAACTTGGCATTGGTGTGTTTTGCACAGATCTCAGGGTCTCTGGGAACTAATATTACTTGGAAAAAGGGATATGCTGCATTTGGAGAGAAGTAAAATTCTCAGAAGTGCCTTTGACCAATAATCAAAGTGAGTATGGACTAAAGAGACCTGAGATCCCAAGTTTAATATCATCCCACGTGCCTGACTCAATGGCCAGGCAATGATATTCAAAATGGCAGCAGTCTGCCTGCTGAGAGCACAAGACCTTCCCTGAGGCCCAGCAGTGTCCCCTGCTTCCAGCTCCAGCAGGCCTGCACGGTGCCAATTAGTGCTCATTAGTGCTAACGTGTGCTAACAGCAGCTCTCGCAGCTGTCCCCACCTGCCAGCTTGCAACAGGTTAAAATAAATGAATAATATTTAAATGAATGGAATGTTTGTGATTCCCTGCCAACTGCCCCAGAGCAGCTATGACTAGCAGGTTACATGGCAGCACTCCATCACGCTCCCTGTGATGCCTGTAAACAAATACCTGCAGCTGCTCTCCCCAGGCAGAAGCCATGAGCAGCTTCTGTGGGCACAGGCACTGGCAGGAGTGAGGACAGGGTGAACATGAGGTCGACCCGCTGTGACTAGGCCCAACAGGGCTGGCTGGCTGTGACTTAGTGAGTTTTCTGGTTCTTCAGGGTGGAGCAAAACCCACCCAGTGCTGCATCCCATGGACCAAACAGGGCCTGAGACCTGGGGGACCTGCCCCTCATCTGAGTTCACATGCTCAGGGAGCCGGGTGATGACAGGACCTCACTGATGAACGTGTTGCTGTTCTAAGTCTTGGCAGACAGCTGTGCAGTACAAACTGCAGACCCTCAGAGGGATGCTGCAGGGCTGGTGTTTGGCCAGACACCAACTTGCCCCTGGAAATCCCAGTTGCCTACCAACATGTCTGAATCAGACCTGGGTGTTAGGAGCTCTGGTTTGATTCCCTGTGTGCTTCACTGCACCATCAAAAAACATGTCCTTATTATAAAGAAAAAGTAATAGCAAACCACAAGCATGACTGCTGTGTTTTAATGTGAGTGGAGGTTTTTATCACCCAGCAGTGAGAGCTCGGGTTGGGTCTCTGAAACGCAGCCAATTTCACATTAACCACACTTGGACATTCTCCCCCTTCCAGCTCCATTTAAGGCCCAGTCGTCTTTGTGAGCAGCAGTGCAGAGGAGGATCAGATCCCAGCACATTTCTGTTTCAGTCAGGATCTTTACATGACTTTCAAGCTGACTGGAGAGGAAAGAGCTCCTCCAGGCTGGATTTTTGTCTTTTGATATGAGTGACACCAACATTTAGTTTCACTCAAGTGTTGTGACAGAAAGCTGCATGCCAGAGCAGGACCAGTGGTGCTCGCAAGGACACAGGACACAGCAGGGACATGGCAGGGACTGTATCAGCACTGGCACCATGGGGAGCCCCTGAATTTACTTGCTGGCACCTGGCAGCACAAACGAGTTCTCCTTGGCCCCATGTAAGTGTAAGTACAGCTAGCACTATTTCAGGCACATGGCTCTTCCCCACTTACACTGGAGCAAGCAGGATGCAAAAAGAAAAAAAAAAATTCCTAGGCCTCCCCAAAGGCAGATCCATGCCCCCTGGGCTGGTACAAAAGCTGCCCTTAAATTATTAAGCAAGAAAAGTGGCCTGCTTTGCTTAAAAGGTTTGTGCTTTCAGGCCATCATGTCATTTACTGCGGAAGCCAAAGGAGAGCAGTTGATGCAAGCAAGTGAGAGTATGGAGATGCACCCAGGACAGCAGGATCTGGCTGTGGAAAGAGCTTTGGAGTCCTCAGATACACTGTGGCTTAGCCAGGAGAGGCACCCAAGCTATCAAACAGAGGATGAAAAACAGGAGCACAGCAATGCCTTTCTCAGAGCTTCCTTCTCTCAGCAATTCAAAGATAAGGAGTCAGCACTTCCAAAGAAAGAATTTACATATAATACATTCAGGCTCTTTATTTCACTTTCAGATTAGGAACCTTCAGGGTTCATGTTTTCGGTTTTCCTCCAAAAGACCTGCTGCACAATGAAACCTGATGTTCTGATGTTGTTCTGGGGAGGTGGAGCAGTAGGAAAACAGCTGGCACATCAGCAGCCAGCAGCATTGCTCCAGCGGATCTCTGCATGGCCCTGGTGCTGAGTCAGCGAGAGAATGCTGCAGGGCTGCTGGAGCAAACTCAGCATGCCCACTGCTCCACTGGAAGGAAACTAGCAGCATCACCTGTCCACCTGCAGGAATAGGAGCTGCTCTGTGGGTTGAAATGCCCTGTGGACTATTTACCAGTGTAAAGTGCACACTGTTTGGGTCCACGTGATCGTAGAATCATAGAATCATAAAATCGTAGAATCATAGAATGACCTGGGTTGAAAAGGACCACAATGATCATCTAATTTCAACCCCCCAGCTACGTGCAGGGCTGCCAACCACTAGACCAGGCTGCCAAGCCCCAGATCCAGCCTGGCCTTGAATGTCTCCAGGAATTGGGGCACCCACAACCTCCTTGGGCAGTCACCAGTCCAGTGCATCACCACCTTCCGTGTGAAAAACTTCCTCCTAATATCTAACCTAAATCTCCCTGTCTCAGTTTTCTCAGTTTAAAACCATTTCCCCTTGTCCTATCATTATCCATCCTCATAAACAGCCATTCCCCCTCCTGCTTATACACTCCCCTCAGGTATTGGAAGGCCACAATGAGATCTCCCCGTAGTCTTCTCTTCTCCAGCTAATTAAGTCCCTCAACCTTCCCTCACAGAGAGGTGCTCCAGCCCTCTGATCATATTAGTGGCCCTCCTCTGAACTCATTCCAAGAGCTCCGTGTCCTTCCTGTACTGGGGGCCCCAGGCCTGGCAGTACTCTAGATGGCCCCCCCCAAGAGCTGAGTAGAGGGGGGCAATCACCTCCCTCTCCCTGCTGGCCACCTCTTTTTTAATGCAGCCCAGAATACAGTTGGCCTTTAGGCTGCAAGTGCACACTGCTGGCTCGTGTCCAGCTTCTCATCTACCGGGATCCCCAAGTCCTTCTCCACAGGGCTGCTCTCAAGTAGATCTTCCCCCACTTTGTATAAATACCTGGGGTTGCCCTGACCCAAGGGCAGCACCCTGTAGCTGGCCTTGTTGAACCTCATTAGGTTTTCATAAGCCTGCTTCTCCAGCCTGTCCAGGTCCCTCTGGATGGCTTCCCTTCCTTCCAGTGTATCAACTGCACCGCTCAGCTTGGTGTCATCTGCAAACTCTCTGAGGGTACACTCAATGCAATCATCTATGTCATTGATGAAGATGTTGAAGAGCACCAGTCCCAAGACTGACCCCTGAGGGACATCACTTGTGATCGGCCTCCACCCTGACACAGAACCATTGATCACAACCCTTTGGCCAAGGAAAAAGCATCGTGACCAGGGAGTCCCTACCACCAGCCTCCCCTGCCTCCTCACACCGTGCTCTGCTCAGGGTGACTGCTCAGTTGGATCATGTGCCTCCTCCCTGATTGCCTCCCACGCCATGGCTCTTGATAACACAGCATGGTAAGTGTTCAACTGCCTCACAGTGAGATTACGGATCAAATGTCTGCTGTATCTTCAGTTTTTTTTTCTTTCCCTTCTGAAAACAAAAACCCACAGTTGCAGCCAGCAGGAAAAAGATTGCTCACTTTGCACTTCTCTCGCATCATCAGATAATTGACTACAAATTCTGTGCTTTACACAAAACAGGGGAGCCAGATACTTCGCAGTGTGCCACAGTGACACTGGGCAAGGTGTTGGGTTCCTGCTGGAACCTGGTTCCCTTCCCACGATGACTCTGGGCTCTGTCCTCCGTGCCACACACTGCTGTGCCAGCACACACTGCCTTTGCTCCAAAGGAGGCCAATGGTACCCTTGATTGTGTTAGGCAATATGTTGCCATCAGATCAAAGGAGGTGATCCCTCACTTCTGCTCAGCACTGATAAGGCCACATCTGGAGTGCTGGGTCCAGTTCTGGGGCCCCCAGTACAAGAGAGACATGGACATACTGGAGAGTCCAGCAGAGAGGCCATGAAAATGATGAAGGGGCTTTGTAGAGCAGAAGCTGTACATTGCATCCATTGCAGGAATAGCCCTGACCCCTCTTCTCCTCTCCACCACCACTCCTTTCCCTGTGGCTTCCTGCAGCTCCACCACAGGTGCTTACATGGACTATAGCAGAAAATTCCCATCTGTGATGTTACTTCATATTTTAAACTAAACTCTGGTCCAGCTACCAGGCATCCAGCAAAATGTGCCTGCAAGTCTGCTTTGGCATCTGTGTGTGTAAACAGAGCCCTAGTTGCTTAGCCACTGACGGGTGTGCTTTAAGCTGTCACAGCATTCTCCCCATCTCCCAGTGCTCACAAAATCCAGCTCTCAGCATCCAGAGCTGCAGCCCCTGACACTCATTGGCTCCAGGGAAAGCAGGAAGGAGCACACCAACCCTGCCCCAAATGTGTTGTTCCTCTGTGATTCACTTTCCTTTTTCCTTGATCTGAGGTTTTTCCTTTGAAACCTATTGCAGGAGGCAGGTTCAGACATGTCATAGAGTGAAGCAACTGAGGAGCCCTTATTCAAGCAGAGATGCACAACAGTGTCTATAATAACAAGGGTGTTGCCTTATGGAGGTTGTAACCATATGCTTTCTCTACATGGTAAACACAGAATGATTTAACACTGAGGTACACCATAGGACAGTCCCAGAGTTACTGCCTAAAGTGCTCTGAGCATTGAGAAAAGCACATACAACACTGAGCAGGAGTCCTATCTTGCTACAGCACAGAGCATTGCTGGTGGCAGCTGTGCTGCTTTAGAGGTAGGTAGGCCTGTGGCTGGTGATGCCCAAGGGCAGTGTGACTGCTGGAGTGACACCACTACAGGTGTCAGCCCACAACAAGAGGTTTAAAGCATGAACGATGGGATGGAGCAAAGCAAAGCAACACGTTGTGCTGGCATTCCAAACCTAGATAAATGTCAGCACTTATGCTGGGGAACAGAAAATAAAGTATTGAGGTAGGATAGTTCCCCCCTGAAAAAAAACTGTGTATGGGTGAAAATGGGGAACAGAGGAAAGGGATGACAGCAGCAGAAGAAAAACATATTGTGTGAAACCTGGTTACAAATAAAGAAAATACCAACAACTCTTAAATGTTCTTCTTCCATCTTCCTGCTTTAAGAAGAGGGTGGGAAACAAGGCTGAAATAAGAAATCAAGTTCCCCAAAACACTCAGTATATATACATACGCACAGCCCTGTAGTGGACAGGACAAGGGGCAGTGGCTTTAAACTGAAAGAAAAAAAAAAAAAAAGGAGATTCAGATTGGATATAGGAGAACTCTCGTCACTGTGAGGGCAGTGAGGCCCTGGCACAGGTAGCCCAGAGAAGCTATGGATGCCCCACCCCTTGAGATGCTCAGGGTCAAGTTGGATGGGACCCTGGGCAGCCTGATCTGGAGGTGGCCATGGCGAGGGGGTTGGAACTGGGTGGTCTCTTAGGTTCCTTCCAATCCAAGCCATTCTGTGATTCTATGTAAATCCTGCATACCAACCTTCCCTTTACCCTGTGTAGGTTGCACTGAACATGGCAACAAACAGCATCCACCACCAAAACTTCAGGCACACCTGTGCACATGCACTCATGCTTGCACAAGTGGAAGGACAACTAAGGATACCTCTAATGCCTCCAAACAGCACAAGATCCAACACAGAAACTGCAGATAAAACCCACAGGCAGCAGCACTGGAGCCAGGAGCTCATAACCAAGCCCCACCTGTCAGATCCAAACTAGGCGACACACACCAGGCGTGCTGACGCTTGCTGCTGCCAGCAGTTTGCAACCTTTGTGCTTGCTTTGCTCAGGAATTTCCACATTCATTCAATCCTACCCGCACCCTGAATAAGTATTCAGAGTAAGTGTAGTTCCATCCCCATTCCTGCTTTTGGGATGCCACAGCTGCCAGTACTGGGAGTTACCTCTCCCAGCAGCTACATGAGAGGACTCTGTGATCAGTAGCCACTAAAGATCACGCTCTACCCTTGAGCAGGACCCTTCGTTTGAGCAGGCTCAGCAGTTAACTGCTTTTCATGGTATCATCCAGGTTGGAAAAGGCCTTCAAGATCACTGGTCCAACCACCAACCGGATCAACCAGTCCAACCACTGACCACACTGCTTAGTGCCATGTCTACACTTCCCAAGCAGCTCACCCGTAACGCAAAGTGACAAGCATCAGAGAACAAGCACCCAGAAGGCAACTTCTCTCTGCTTCCAGAGAGCTCGTGGAAGAATTTAAACACCACAAAAACCAAAGGTGAACCAGATTCAAAATGAACTTGGGGGGCATTCCTCCTTGCATACAGTACTCTCAATTCTGATGAACTAAAGCAACATGTAAGATCACTATTCAAAAGACCGTGTTATGCATAATAAGGGCCAGGTCAGATTCACACCATGGGTAACACGACTACAGACTTTTTAAAAAAATGTAGTAACTTTCACTTCAGAAAAAGAGCAGAGAACAGACTAAGCTCTACAGCTCTCCTCACCACAGCTGGTTTCTTTTCTTACTACAGCAAGCCCCACAGCACTTCGGATGCTCATGATGGACTGAAAGGCTTCCTGACTATGTTAATTTATTAACGCATTCATTTTCTCAACATAGCCATTACCTCTGTTGCCTTCCTTCTTCCCCACACGCACACCTCAGAGCTCCCACAGCCCAGCCTAACTGCAGAGCTGCATTCACATCGCCTGTGTCAGGCAGGAGAGGCGAGCTCAGCCCACAGCTGTTATCTTCATGATAGGACTGGTATGAAGCAAGCCAGGTGGATCAGGAAGGAAGTGGTTGCACATATCTCTGTATCTGTACACAAGGAAGCAGGTGCCCATCTCATGCTGGAGAGGGACTTCACAGAAGTCTGCACAGGATGGGGCTGGGGACACACCAAAGGAATTGACCAATACTCAGAACAAGCAGCTCCCCATCCCCAGCTATTTTCTTGGAGATTGCTGTAACTTGGTGTAGAAGACTTTCCAAATGCTAATATTAGATACTTTCATACCATTTAATCCATTTACTTCCTGAATAACCAAGAATAATCTCTGCACCCCCAGTTTTGGGGCCCCAGTACAAGAGAGAGACACCGGACAGAGAGAGTCCAGCAAAGGGTCATGAAGATTCTGCAGGGCCTGGAGCCCCTCACCTGTGAGCAGAAGGGAGCTGGGCCTGCTCAGCATGGAGAAGAGGGTGCTCTGGATCTACATAAACACCTGAAGGGAAGATGTTAAGATGACAGAGCCTGGCTCTATTCAGTGGTGCCCAGTGCCAGG